CAGTTGTCAATTGTGATGATGCAGTGAGAATAGGATATGAAATGCAGAAGGATCTTGATGATGAGTCACCTGTTACAATCATGAAGACATCGAAGAAATGCAAAAATCTAGCTGACCTCCAGAAGAAAGTAAAGGTAGGGGACAAGAAAATCTACATCGAGAAGACACTATTTTGCGCGTTATTTGTTCTATTGTGGATTTTTTTGTGATTCTAATTTATGGTTCATGCGCGTTCTTACGTTCCTATGTTCTACCTGTACGTTTTAACATTTTCTTCTATGCTATCGATAAAGAGCCATTGCTCGAAACGTCTAGCTATTTTTAATAGTTACTTAGGACTACGATTACCAAATATTATCTTCTATATATCATTCTTGTGGCTTGGTACGCCATGACACTTGAGGCGGGAACCAGCCAATTTCAACGCTGAGGGCGGTTAAGAAAATATTTTCTTACCGCCCTCAGCGTTGAAATTGGGGGAGGGGACCAGACAAGTTGTTACCTCCATGCTCAAACGGAAAACAAGGTATAAGAAGCACAAGTTTGGGTATACACTGAAGAGAGGGGGCAAGGGGGTAGCTGGTACAGGTTACAGGTAATAAAAACGGCATTTTACGTAAATAAAATGATTCCACCATTTACAGTAAAAAGTATTTTTTTTTACACTTTACAGATAATAATTACATTTTTATAATATTTTTGATAATTTGAGTTTAAGAATCAAAATTTGAAATTGCGTACAAATTACTACATTTAATTTGAGAAATGCTTTACACGCTTAAAAAAAATAATATCTTTGTAAAAATTACGGACGAATAAACAAGCTGATTACATTTAACACCTTGCCCATGTCTACGGATTTGCGTTTTTTTATTTATTTAAATTACATTATTATGAAAATAAAAACAATTGATTACAGCTTACGAAAATACCCCTTGCATCCCCTCTGAAGAGGTTAAATGAAAAATTCATTCAGAACCTATAAAACCACTGCCTTCTTGCCTGAAAACTTTGAAACACCACTACGGTGCGCGGAAAGAGATATAAGCACAGCTATAAAACGCTGTTAAAGGGAGGTGGTCGTCGTGTCGCGTCCTGTTCTATATGGGACTCACAGCGACGTATACAACTCGTGTAAAATACTAGTACATTGTTTGTTGACATGAAATTACATGACCACCGCCCTCTAAATTAATTAAAACACGAGTAGGACGCGGTGGACGGATTTGTTTTATACGTAGCAGCAAATAGTTTTGGTTTATCCACACATATTCGTGAAAATCAACTACTAGTATCTGTATTGTTATACTTCACTCATTGGATATCCTAAAGCTGGGTATACTTAGCACTATAACAAGACCGTGAACGAACCGCCAAAGTGACAATGCCGCCATCAGCGACGTATATAATAGTGCACCTCGTTTTTAACGTTCGGCGCATGTCTAAACTCGTAACCAAAAAACAAAAACGCCCTGCCAAGGTCTTTACAGGTGTGATCTGCGCTCGTTGACGAATAACTACTGGCGTCTCGAAGCTGACTGACCGTCATCACCATCACAAACACAACTGCTACAACTATCTTAAACCATCAAAGTAACACATGTTTACCTCCGTGCTTCTATAATTCAGCAGAATATCGGGATAAACGTTAGAATACATAGATAATGTGTCAACGTGTACGTTTATACGACCGTTTTATATTGACTGGATACAGGCCGTTAACGAACATTATTGGTTGCGTTACCTTCACAATGAATTGGTTAATGTATATACACATGGTGAGTATTCAATGTGTTTGCTTGGTACGCACCTTATATGACCTGTTCTGACCTATCTGTACGTAGATTAGTGTTATTTATGTGTAGTCAACGTGTGATGTCATCTATTTATACATAAATATAGTAGTGCTGGTCGATGAGTCGTAAGCAACATTTACCCGTGCGTACAGTGTGGTATGTAATATTAGGGAGAGTGCCCGACGTTTCGTCTGAACCCGTTTTGCCTCAGTTATTTCGTACCATCACCCTTTCGTTCCAGTACCGTTTTGTCCCAAAGCTGTTTCGCCCCAGTTCATCGATTGTATCACGGTTGCATGTACTATTCGTTTCCTATTTCATAGATGGGAGCTGCTCTTAAAACTGCGAGACAGACAATGATTTTACGAAAAGTCTGAATCGAGAATGAAATGTCTTCATCCAATGAGAACTACTTTGTGTGGAACATTTTACCCTGACAAAGTAAAATCTGTGAATATTGTTTGGCAAAGATAAATAAAATCGTTTTATTAAATTAATTTACAAGGAAATTCACTGGCAAATAGAGTGAAAAGACAACCCAACCAGTAGTATTACAATATACCTCACTGACAATATGGATATCTACTTAGCATAACAAACTGTTACATTACTGTTATTTTATTTATAAAACAGTGAGTCACTATATTCAAATAATGCTGGCCGGATTGCTGTTTCGTTCACAATAACACCCTATCTCACAGGAAATTCAAATAATATGCATAAGACATATATGAATTCATTGGTATACAAACTAACACGTGATCCCAAGGAAATAATAGTATGAACCTGTCTGCCACGGTGTTATTTGCAAATATTGACTGGAACGAACCTGCACTGGGGCGAAACCACAAATTTGAAAGCTTCTATTTTTATATTGCAGGTTTGCCTTTGCTGTATTTCCTGATATTTCCCACAATTAGGCTACAATGGAATGTGATGAAGGTGACGTCACTTGCAATTATGCACTATTTATCATTATTATCACTTTTGTTTGGCAGTGTTATTTATCATTTGTTTATGAGCCATGCTGGTGGCGCTGTTGTTTACAAGAAACTATTACGGTTGGACATGTGCGGAAGTTGGACAGCGAATACATTCGGTAAGATTAGTATATCTATATCACACCTATCCACACGGCTAGGCTTGCTGACATCTGGAATTTTCAATGGATTACAAGCTGTCACTCACTCTTAGGGAATCATATACCTTTACGAATCATGCAGTTAGCATACAACAAATCACACATTTGGCAACTTTCTAGCAACACGTCTGTGTGTCACGGTTTCTTTATTGGAAATAACATGTGAATGGGGTAGATGTTTTCAAGTTGTTTACTTTATTTGTTTCGGGGGCATGGATTCTTGTACACGAATCGGGTTATTTCTTTCGAGGTTAGCAACTCTTGTGACACAATGAATATTATCTGCACAAATAAATACGTTTAACGTTTACATATAAAGTACATTGACTCCTGGAACCTACATCAACGGGGATGGGGGTGGTGCAGAACTTGAACAGCACCAAAGCCAACTTAAATACCACTACACTAAAATTTCAATTCTGTCCTTTTTAGCATGACTGGCGCATCAAATTTGTGTACACTTTCGTTCGGAAAATACCGCAGGGTTTTCTAGCCAAAATAATCACAATATTCAATAATAATGGCGATCGCAAACGTGACAGTGAACACATCTATGCACTTAGAAATCCAACACAATTTTACAGATACATCGAAACACACT